GCCTGGCAGGCACTCACGTAGGCGTGGATACTGCTACAGAGGATGCTGTGGTTGCCTTTGCCCAGGCAGAGGTCGAAGACACACTCCTGCAGAGGGCCCTGGGGCTCCAGCAGCTTGTGGCAGGCGGCCAGCGGCCCCGTGGGGCTGGTGAGGAGCCCACAGAACTCCTCCTGCTGGTACTTTTGCTCCAGCTCGGGTGTGCACTCAGGGTTGCAGTCCTCACCAGGGGGGCAGGTGGGTGGCAAGCAGGGGGAGCCGGGCACCGCCTCCTCCCAGGAGTTGGCAAAATCGTTGGGGTTGCCTGCCTGTGACCCGTCAGGCTTCTGGAAGTCATCCTTGGGGTCCCCATTGTAGTTCCCACAGAGGCCACACAGCTGCTGGTGGTAGTTGCCTGGGACGGTGACCCGCACATAGTACATGAGGTCGTAGGTCACACGTAGGCCAAAGTCAGTCTCAACCACGACGTCCGAGCCATGCTGGAAGGCCCGGACCCGGCCCTCGGCCAGCACCACGGGCAGCTTCATGTCCACACCGTTCACCTGGGAGGGGGAGAGCCATGCTTTAGAGGGGGCACTTTAGGGAGACAGATCCTTGTTGAAGCCCCTGCCTGATACTAAGGATCTGTGCGGCCCCCACCTCTCTGGGCCTCAGTTTCCCTGGGTGTAAAATGGGTACAATAACAGGGTCTCCACGGAATAACAACATTACCAGCAATCCTTTATTCACGATCAAATGTGGTGGTTAATTAGGCACTAACGGACCGTGGGGCCACCTGCTGGGTTCAAACGCAGCTCTGCCCTCACTGCCTCTGTGACTTTGTGCAGATCACCCACCTCTCTATGGTTCTTTTCCCTCAACTATCAAGTGGGGATAATGGTGCCCACCCCATTGGATTGTTGTCAGGATGATATGAATATCTGGAAAATCAAAATCAAACCAAACCCACAGCTACTGAGCCTATTCTGATTCATAGCGACCCACATTGGGTTTTTGAGGCGATAAATCTTTGTGGAAGTAGATTGCCCCGCCTTCCTGCCACAGAGTGGCTGGTGGACTTGAACCACCAACCTCCTGGTTAGCAGTCAAATGCCTTAGGAACTGCACCACCAGAGCTCCTTAAATATCTGTAAAGCGCTAAGTGCCTCACACAGGAGGACAGCTCTAGGAACATTCACAATTGAATTAGCTGCGGCTGCAAGTTTTTATTTATTATTATTAAACAGGCCTTAAGGATTTTTGCTTTAAGTCTCAATGGGTGGAAAAGTCAAGGCTTAACTCCTGTGGTGCACTGATTAAGGCATTTGACTACTAAGCAAATAGCTGGTGCTGCAAACCCACCAGCTACTCCGTGGAAGAAAGATGAGGCAGCCTGCTTCCGTGAAGATTTACAGCCTCGGAAACCCACTGGATATTGCTGTGAGTTGGAATTGACGTGATGGCAGTGAGTTTGCATTTTCTTTTCTTTTTTCTTTTTTTTTTTTGGGGTGGAAAGTCAGGGTACAATTTCCAGGGAAATAAACTTCAAACCCATGAGTTAGGGACAAAGGGTTCTGTTGAGGCCTTTGAAATTGACCTGTAATTAACATGCTTGCTATTGTTGGTTGCTGTCCAGTCAGCTCTGACTCAGGCCACCCCTGCTGTGTGCGGGTAGAACTGCTCCACTGAGCTTTCAAGGCTGTGACCTGTTAGAAGCAAAGCCCCAAACCTGTCTCCCAAAGGGCCTCTAGGTGGGTCTGAACTGCCAACCATTCAGTTAGTAGCCTAGAGCTTAACTGCATGTGCCAGTCCGGGACTCCCACATGATTGCTGCTCCTTCCTTATCACAGACATGACTAAACCAAAAAACCAAACTCACTGCCATTGAGTCAACTCCGACTCATAACAACCTCTCCTTGGGCTTCCAAGGCAGTATCACTACGAAAGTAGATTGCCCCATCTTCCTTGCGAGGAGTGGCTGGTGGGTTTGAACCACCAGCTTTCTGGTTAGCAGTCAAGTGCCTTAGGCACTACAACATGACTGGCATTGAATCCCCCGCCCGCCCCAGGTGTGAAGACTCGGGAGAAAGCAGGAGAAAGACACATTCCTGGCTGAGTGTCCTAAATGCACATAGTCGCCATCATTCCCAGGTGGAGCAGGATAGTGGCTGAGGGCAAGTGGCTAAATCTCTGTGCCTCAGTTTCCTCATCCATCAATGGAGGATAATAATGGTTTCCATTTCATGGGGGAGCTGGGGATTCAGTGAGATGCAAATAACAAGAACAGGGACAGCCTGTACTTAGAGCGTCCTGTGTGCCAGGCGCTGTCCTAGAAGCTTGGGACACATCCAGGAATGCATCAGACCATTCGATGCCTGTCCAGTGCACAGTGAGCACTTGATAAAGCCAGTCATTCATCAACACTCTTGTGGTCAGTACTGCTACTAGGACAGTGGGTCTATCCCTATATTTTACAGGGATTCTCTGGAGGAACTGAGGGGCAGAAAGAGGGGGCCCCAAAGCACAGAGAGAGGCAGAGAGAAGGGGACCAAGGGGCAGTGAGATGGAGACCAAGGGGTACAGAGGAGATTGAGGGGCAGAGAGGGGGCAGATTGAGGGTTAGAGAGAGTGGGAGACTGAGGGTCACAGAGAGAGGAGATGGAGTGCCAGAGAAAAGGGAGACTGAGGGACCGAGAGGGGAGATTCAGCCGCCTGGGGGCAGGCCCAGGCCCTGAGGCCTCCTCTCGCCTTGACTCCCCGCTCTGGGCTCTGCCCTCTCCCTTCACCTGCCTCCCACACTCTGACTCGGTGCCCTCTGCCCCCAGGTCCACCCACAGACTGCCCTCTATCCCAGGACCTCTCCCTGTTGGGCTCCACCCTGCTCTCACCGTGACCTTCCACTGGTGTTGCTCCAGCCGCAGGGTGAAGTTAGCCACCTGGACAGTGATCACCTTGGTCACACTGACTTTCCCGTTACCCCAGGCCACGTTCTCCTGAAGGACAGCAAACTGGTCCAGGCCAGGCTGGGCCCCACAGGTCCGAGCCAGCACGTACACGCAAGTACCCATGAAGTCATAGCGTCGGCCGTCAAAAGAAGTGTAGTGTGGGTCTCCTGATGCCTGGCAGGTGGCCGAGCCCACAGCCACACAGCCCAGGACACCATTGGATGGCTGGCAGGCCTCATGCGGGCCGCAGGTGGAGGGCTTGCAGGACACTAGGCCGCCCTCCTGGCAGTGGCAGAGGGACTCACAGCCTGGGCCAGGGTAGAAGGTCTGGCCTGGTGGATGGTAGGTGCCCTGGTACACGCAACCACAAGAGGCCAGGGGTACGCAGGACTCGCCACTGAGCGCAAAGCCCTCGTCGCACACGCAGCCCTCGTAGCAGTCCGAGCCACAGCCCCCAGGCACTGGGAGGTCTCCGCAGGACAGTGGGCAGCTGTGGGAACACGCCTCATAGTGGCTGTGGGGTGCACAGCTTGGTGCTGCAGGAAAAGGGGCCATCAGACTGAGAGTCCCTGCTCCCCTCCCCGAACTCCAGTCCCTCCAGCCTTTTTGACAAGCGGTTTCCTCAACAACACAACAAAACTCTCAACCGGAACCTGATCAAGACTCCATCTGCGCTATACAGTATGGTGGTCACTAGGCACTTGTGGTTATTTGGATTAATTTCAATGAAATGAAAGTGAGACTCAGTTCCTCAGCTACACTAGTAGCTCCATTTGAAGTTAGTAGTACTACATTTCAGTGGTTACACATGATTAAATCAGCTGGCCTTGAGTAGAGAAAATTACCTTCTGTAAAGTAATGTGATTGATGTAATCACCTTCCGTAATGCAATCTAATGTAATGTAATCAACCAACCAGTTGAGGCCACACCAGTGTAGGGTAGATCCTAAGCCTAATCACTTCTGAGATATAAAAAGACCAGAAGAGACACAGACACACACACGGGGCAAGACAAAACACCATACGAAGACTGTCTACAAGCCAAGGAACACCAAGGAAATAAGGAACGCCGGTGGTTACCAACAAAGAAGGAATGAGAGGGTTGAGATTCTGAATTGGACAAACGGAGGAGCTAGCCTCCTAAAACCAAACTCAGTGCCATCGAGTCGATTCCAACTCATAGAGATCCCCTTTGGGTTTCCGAGGCAGTAAATCTTTACAGAAGTAGATTGCCCAGTCTTCCTTCCACGGAGTGGCTGGTGGGTTTGAACTGCCAACCTTCTGGTTAGCATTCAAATGCTTTAGGCACTATGCCACCAGGAGCTAGCCTGCCTGGGCACAAATCACACCACATTCTGCGTGACCGCAGGCAAATTACTCACCATTTCTGTGGCTCAGTTTCCTCATCTAGTAATGGGCACCCTGCTTACTGGGTAGTTGTGAGGTTTAAATGAGAAATACAAAGCCCTTAGAAGAGGGTCTTCCAGATAGGAAGTGAGCCACACAAATGCCAGCTGTTCATGTCTGTGTCCCTCAGAATGACTGGCCTGAGAACGGACCGTGGGAGAGCTGCTGCCGTTTCTGCCTGGTGTTTCCACAGCAGGCTTCTCCCACTTCACAGAGGAGAAAGGTGGTCCCCCCACCCCAAATCTCATAGGGTGTACTGTCCTGGGGGGTGAAGACCTCCAAGGACATAAAGGGACAATTTCAAATACTGGTGTAGGTGTGGAGACAATGAACGACTACTTGTTGTTGTTGTTGGGTGTCATAGAGTCGATTTCTGACTCGTTCTCATAGTGCCACTATGTGACAGTGCAGAATTGCCCCAAAGGGTTTTCTAGGATGTCATCTTTACGGGAGCAGATTGCCAGGTCTTCTCCTGTAGAGCCATTGGCTACGTTTGAACCATCAACCTTTCAGTTTGCAGACGAGTGCTTATCCGTTGCACCACTAGGACTAATCATTAGTATGGAGAAAATTGGTTCTGATTCTTTGCTCCCACCAAAACTAAAATGGGGCCTAATAGAATCTGCTGCCCACAGGTCAAAAAAAAAAAGTTTTGTGGTCTCACTCTGTCACTGTCCCCTCTAATTCAGAAGAAGTTCAAAGAATGGTTGATGTTCCTTCACCAAAACACCTTTCATGCCACTCACTTACTAATATCACATTTGTAAGAATTAAAAATATGATTAGAATTGACCCTGAACCCCATCTCATTCTAACAATATATGCAAACTATCGGAGCCCCATCCATCTCATGAAGAGATGCCTTTCCAGTACATTTTACTTTGTACGTTTAATGTTTTTATCAGTTGTGTACTTAGGATACTTGCAATGATAACTCATCCCATACTTCTCTTTTTTCAAAGACTCAGAGCATCATGGTCTCAGGAATTTCCAAAAAAAAAAAAAAAAAATTGTCAATCTTATCCACACGTGTGTATGTATGTTTGTGGCCAAGGAGTGGGATGTGGAGTAGGATAAACTGCCCAATGGCTAGTCCTGATTCTGGGCATGGCCATGGCTCTCACGGTGGCCAATGGGACATGAGCAAACGTGACACAAGTACTTCCTGTTTTCTCCAGTATCACATCCCGGTGCCTAGGACGTGCCTGCAGTGCAGGTGTTCAGTAAATATTTATTGAATGAATGAACATAAGTTAAAGGAGAAAAAACAGTGGTGTGAGATTCCTGTATTTATCGTGTATTTTTTTAAATGGACTACGAGTAGTTGTGTGTGAGGAGCTTTGGTGGTGCTGTGGTAAGGCATTTGTCTGCTAACCAGCAGTTTGGCAGTTCAAACCCACCAGCTGCTCTGCGGGAAGAAGATGAGGCAATCTACTTCCGTAAAGATTTACCACCTTGGAAGCCCTATGGGGGTCACTATGAGTCGGAACCCACTCAATGGCAGTGGGTGGGTGGGTAGTAGTTGTCTGTACCACTGTGTTGTGTGTATCTATTGGATACGTTTAGAAGAGTGGCTTAAGTCAAGTAATAACTTTATTTTAAATTGCCACTATTTTGTTGATTGTTGTGGAAACCAGACGATGGGTAGATGAGGGTTCATGATCTAATTTTCTGTTCTTTTGAGTATTTGACCAGTGAAACGTTATCATCTTCTGGAAGTATATCTTTTGCAACTATTTACACTTAGGATGGAAAACTAAAGATGTCAACTTAAAAACAGGGGAGGGAGTACATGCTGTTAAAGTCCTCTTGCTGCAAATCCATCAAATGCTTTACTTATTATGGTCCATGTTTCTGAATATGTGCTTCATGTTTCAATTATCAATTAAAATTTGAAAACATTTGGGGTGGGGATGCATGGCCTTTCAAATGTCTTTTATAGACAAGCAAAAATGTTTGAAGAACGTTCCTATGGCCACATCCAAAGAAAGGGTCTCAAACTGACTGCCCACGAGGCCAAGCAGATGTCAATGAGTGCAGTAGGCCACAGGAGGGGGGGCAAGAAGAACAGGACAGGGGACCAGACTCCTTGTAAAGGCAGCACCCATAACTCACCTTTGAATGACAGCTGCCGTGTGGCAACCAGACCAGGAACCACCAGATGTAGTCAGTCATTCCACAAAATCTTTCTTGCATGCCTACCGTCCATCACTTCCTAATTATTGTGATACTGGGCATGTAACTTAACCTTCCTGAGAATCAGTACCCTTATCTGCTAAATGGGTATAACCACAGCCCCTACCTCTTAGGATTGCTTGTAAATGAATAGTTATATTAAGTTAATTAAATAGACTTAAGGCTGAGCCCTGCCCTCCGCCCCCGCCCCAGTACTCACGGCAGAGCTCTTTACTCCTCCAGGGGTACACGGTGGCCCCAGCAGCCTGGCATGCGGCAGCATATGTAGCCAGCGCATCACACAGTGGCCCAGACTGGCCTGGTAGCAGGCAGAGGTCGTACACACAGTCACGCATAACGCCCTGGGGATCCAGCTTGCCATGACATTCCCGGAAGGGCCCCTTGGGGTCGGCAATGATCCCACACTCCTTCTTGCTCTGCAGCTGCTGGGCCACCAGGGAGTCCAGCTTGGGACAGTCACCCGGATCAGCTGCTCCACAGCCAGGTCTCGTCTCCTCCTGCCAGCTGTTCCCAAAGGCCAGCGCATTGGCAGCCTGGCCCCCACCCCGCAGAGTCAGGTCGTCACCTTTGTTCCCGTTGAAGTTCCCACAGAGCCCACATAGGGCCCCAGCATAGCTGCCAGGCACCTTGACAGTCACACGGGCGTTCCAGTCGTAGGTGACGGTCAGGCCAAAGTCTGTGCGGATAACAGCATCATTGCCTTGGCGGAACACCTGAACCTGTCCATCTGCTGCATGGAAGGGCAGGTAGTGAAGGACACCATCCATCTGCATAAAAGTGGGGGGCGAGGGGTCAGGGTCTTCATGTCTCCAGCCACCCTGGTGTGCTTGCTCTTCTCAGTACACTATGCTCCATCTCACCTCAGGGCCTTTGCACTTGCATCCTTCAAGACTTGGCTTAAATCCAAGCCCCTTACTAGAAGGTCCCCTAATATTAATAATAGGATTTCCTTTACTCTCAGGTGGTTTTGAGGATTACCAGTTAAAGAATGTAAAAGGTTGAGCGCATGGCTGGTACAGGGAAAGTTCTCTCTCTCTGCCACTGCCCCCTCGGCCACGGCATGGCCACTACCCAAAACAATTGTTGTTGTTAGGTGCCGTTGAGTCAGCCCCAACTCATAGAGACCCTGTGTACAACAGAACAAAACACTGCCTGTTCCTGTGCCAGCCTCACAATCCCTGTGATACCTGAGCCCATTGTTGCAGCCACTGTGTCAGTCCATCTCGTTGAGGGTCTTCCCCTTTTCCCTGACTCCAAACTTCTCACCCATGATTATCAGCTATTGTTGTGAATCTCAGAACAACTCCACTTTTCCATGTTTAAGTTTTGAAAGAGAAAAGCAGTCATTCTTGATCTCAGCTGTCTGCTGGAACTTCGTCTCTGTCCAGCTTTGTGTCTGAGTCACCTACCACATGGCTCCCTCAGCTCCAGGTGCCCTGGCCTCCTTACTGTTGCCCTGAACATACAAAGTGCATTCCCACCCCAAGCCTTTGCACTGGCTGTACCTTCTTCCTACAGTGTTGTATTGTTGTCAGATAGGGTCCAGCAACCTTATGTACAACATAACAAAACACTGCTCAGTCTAATATATCAGACAGTGTTTCACTGCTATTCATAAGGTTTGCACTGGCAATTTTTTTTTTTTTTTTGAAATGAAGATGGCCCTATCATTCTTCCCAGTCTGTCTCAGTCTGGAAGCTCCACTGAAACTTGTCCAGTACAGGTGGCATGGCCTCCAGCCTCACAGCAACATGCTGGGAATATCACCTATCAATCTTAACCCAGACCCTCCTCCTCATTTTTCAGGTGTCAGCTTTGATCCCAGATTATCCATGCCCCACTCCCTCTCCAATCTAATCTCTTAACCCTCTAATCCTGCATGCAACCATTATCAGCTCCAGCCATGTAACCACTGATTTTCCCCTCAACTCCCCTACCACCAAGCTCAGTCCAGCCACAGGGCCTTTGCACTTGCTGCACCCCCTGCCTGCAACACTCTCACCTTCTTTCATACCCCTCTTCTCTCTGCCTGGCTGCCTCACCCTCATCCTCCACCCACCAACCCCTGCTTGTCCTCACTTTTCTGACCCCATCACCTACCAGTCGCTCTATCCCATAGCCTAACCTCACTCCCTCAGGTTGGCCTCTGTGCTGTTCCCCTGAACTCTTTAAGCCTCAACCTTTGAATCCACTACTCTTCACCTGGTGGTCTCCTCCTCCTCCTTCAGGTCTCAGCTTACAACAAAAGCCCCAACCATAGCCCACAAGGCTCCCCTCTCCTCTCATACCTTCCACTCCAGCCCCACTGGCCTCCTTGCTGGTCTTTAACCACTCCAGCTTGTTCCTGCCTCAAGGCCTCTGTACTTTCTGTTCCTTTTGCCTGGAATACCATCGTGTCCACTTCTCTCTCTACCTGTTCCAGCTCTTTCTTCAAGAGCAGTAATAGGGTATAGTGGGTAAGAGTATGGACTCTGGAGCCAGGTTACCTGAGTTCAAATCCTGGCTCTGCCTGTGACCTTGAGTAGGTGACTCAAACTCTCTGTGCCTTAGTTTCCTCCACTAACAAGATTAGTGTCTTCACAGGGTTCTTGTGAAGATTAAATGATTTAATATATGCTGCCAAATATTGAGCACAAAGAAGTAACTTAATATATGTTGACTATTAATAGTCACGGGAGAGCTCTGGTGGGGAAGGGCCTAAGACATTTGACTGCTAACCAGAAGGCTGGCAGTTCAAATCCACCAGCCACTCCTCAAAGGAAAATTGGCCAATCTACTCCCATAGAGATACTGCCTTGGAAACCCAAGGAGGGGTTGCTATGAGTTGGATCCGACTCGAGAGCAGTGACTTTGTTTTGGTTATTAATAGTCAAGCCACAGCTTAAATGTCATCTCAGAGAGATGGTGTGGTGGTTATGTTTTTGTATCAACTTGGCTGGGCCTGGTTGAGTGGCTGGGCAGCTGGTGGTAGTTATTCCCCATGATGAGACTGGCAGTCAACTCCATGGTGGGATCTACCACAAGCAGCTGAGTAGCTGCTTTGGGTATGTGGTCTGCTTCCCATATATAAGAAGCAGCTTTGGGAATGGTCTCTAGCTTATGGCACACTTGGACCCTGCATGTAGCCGTGTCATTGTTCAGCAGCCTGCCATGCTGCTCTGCCATGTGGTTTGGTAACATCGGGACTGTGCCTTTTTACTTGTCAACCTTGGGGCTTCTCAGCCTCAGCAGCCAGCAGCTGTCTGCGTGAAGAAACGCCTCTAGCTCCAGTGGGCTGGGAGCAGGAGGCAGAGCTGGACCCCAAGATTGAGGGGCTTTCACCCAGCCCCTAGATCCTGGCACTTTGAACTTGGACTTTAAGCCTCTAAATTGTAACAATAAACTCCTGTTTCTTAAGGTCATCCTATTTATGGTATATTCTTGTCAGAGCAGCACTAGGGAACCAGAACAGATGGGAACATAAATATTAATAATAGGATTTCCTTTACTCTCAGGTGGTTTTGAGGATTACCAGTTAAAGAATGTAAAAGGTTGAGCGCATGGCTGGCACAGGGAAAGTTCTCTCCCTCTGCCACTGCCAGTTCACCCCTCGGCCACGGCATGGCCACTACCCAAAACCATTGTTGTTGTTAGGTGCCGTTGAGTCAGCCCCAACTCATAGAGACCCTGTGTACAACAGAAGGAAACACTGCCTGTTCCTGTGCCAGCCTCACAATCCCTGCGATACCCGAGCCCATTGTTGCAGCCACTGTGTCAGTCCATCTCGTTGAGGGTCTTCCCCTTTTTCCCTGACTCCAAACTTCTCACCCATGATTATCAGCTATTGTTGTGAATCTCAGAACAACTCCACTTTTCCATGTTTAAGTTTTCAAAGAGAAAAGCAGTCATTCTTGATCTCAGCTGTCTGCTGGAGCCTCTGAGAATCCACCGAAACCCACAGACCATCTGTCCAGAACCCTGCTGCCAGGTCTGCCCGGCCGTGTGGCCCCAACCCTTCTGGTCTAAGAAGCTGCGTCAGGACCTCTGCTTCTCCCCTCTAACCGGTACCGAGTTGCCCTCTGTTGTTGTGTTGTTATGTGCCGTCGAGTCGGGCCCAACTCATAGCAACCCCTCCTTGCGTTTCCGAGTCAGTATCACTACGGAAGTAGATTGCCCCATCTTCCTTCCGAGGAGTGGATGGTGGGTTTGAACTGCCAGCCTTCTGGTTAGCAGTCAAGTGCCTTAGGCACTAAGCTACCAGAGCTCCCTTCCCATTGCCCTGGAGTCGATTTTGACTCATGGCCACTCCACGTGTCTCAGGGTGGAACTGTGCTCCACAGGGGTGTCAGTAGCTGTGACCTTTTGGAAGTGGACTGTCAGGCCTTCTTCTGAGGTGCCTCCTGGGGCATTTGAACTGCCAATATTTTGGCAAGTAGTCAAATGCTTAATTAACCGTTTGCACTGTCCATGGATTCAGTTTTGTCGCCCTAACCCACTGTCATTGAGTCAATTCCGATGCATAGCGACCCCCATTGGGTTTTCCGAGGCTGTAAATCTTTACAGAAGTAGATTGCCTCATCTTCCTTCTGTGAAGTGGCTGGTGGGTTTGAACCGCCAACCTTCTAGTTAGCAGCCAAATGCTTACGCACTGCATCCCCCTGCACATCTCCAACTCCCAACTTTTATAAGCCACCCCGTGTCCCTCTAGGAAAGCATGCAAGTCCAGAGCTTCAGAGGTTTTGAAACAATAAGAACAATAGCAGCAGCATTTACCAAACACTTGCTGGGGGCCAAGCTCTCTTTTTAACCACTTATAACTATTAACTCATCAAGTCCCCACAACCATCCTATGAAGTGGACCCTCTTATAATCCTGGTTTCACAGAGACAAAGCTTCCCAGTGAGGGAGAGAGAGAGAGAGAGCAGCCTGGCTTGGGGACTCCTGCTTAACCACTGGCCACAGGTTTCTCCACAGCCTCCAGCCCCACCTGGAATCCTGAGCCTCTGATCTTTAGGGGGTCTCTGGACCCACCACCCAGCCCGGGCGCCACATGACTCACCAGCACTTTTCCGGGGTGCTGCCGGATGACGGCCACCACCACGCCGCGGGCCTCCACGCGCGCGCCGCGTGTGAAGCTTACGGTCTGGCTGCCTCGATGTTCGTTCTCCACTAGCACGCGGAAGGCGGGCAGCGCCACGTTCTGGCCGCAGGAGCCCGTCAGCAGGTACGTGCAGGTGCCCATGAAGTCGAAGCGCCGCCTATCGAAGCTCACGTAGTGCGGGTCCCCGTAGGCCAGGCAGGTCCCAAAGCTGTCGGGGTAGCAACCCAGGAGGCCGTTCTGGACGCCGCAGCGCGCCCCTGCCGGGCAGCCCTGTGTGTCTTGGCAGCGCACCTGCTGGGTGGCGCCGTTGCAGGTGCAGCGCCGCTGGCACAGTTCGTCCGCCCACACCTCCTGGCCGGGCGCGAGCAGGCGGCCCTCGAAGGTGCAGCCGCAGGCCGAGGCTGGCACGCAGGCGCCCCCGCTGGACACGAAGCCGGGGAGGCACACGCAGCCCTCCACGCACGGGAGCGCCGAGCAGTTGGCCGGCGCCGCCGCTGAGTTGCAGGTGGCAGGGCAGGCGGGGCCGCAGAGTTCGTAGCGGCTGTTGGCCGGACAGGACAGGGCTGTGGGGAGAAGGGGGAACCCAGGTCATGAGGGGCGCCTTCTTAGAAAGAGTCCAGCACTTCTCTTCCCAAACCCCACTTCTCGCTCAGAGCCCCCCCAGCCAGTCCCTGGTACTTGCATTCTGTATGAGCAGGACTCAGAGAGGTCCTTGGTCCCCCTCTCTCTCAGGGTACGGACAATCTAATCGCCCAGGAATCCCTATAAGGTCCATATTCAAAATCTATCCAGACCCTGCCTCCTTGTCCTCTCAGCACGATCCTCACCTGGTCCTGTCCACACTTTGGCCTCCTCCCTTTGTCCCCACTGCTCCTGCTCACCCACAGTCTGCTCCCCACACGCAGCCAGAGGGACCCCGTGGACTCCTGAGTCAGATCTCCATGGGTCCCGGCCCTCCTGTGGCTTCATCTCCCTCAGGGTGAAAACTGAAGTCCTCAAAGCTTCCTGAAAGCTCCCCCAAGATCTGCTCCCATCACCTTTCTCTGTTTCATCTTCTATTCTCCCCCTTGTCCTCTTTGCTCAGCCACAGCTAAACAGGTACAGCTCCTTGTTCCTCAGGCTCCCACCTCAGGGCCTTTGCACTGGCTGTTCCCTCTGCCCACATTGCCCTTTCCTGAGAAAGGCAGCACAGCCTGTGGGTAAGAGGAAGGCCACTGGAGGCCAGCTGGCCTGGGTTCAAGTCCCAGCTCTCCCCTTCGTAGCTGTGGGATCTTGAGCACTGAGTGCCTCAGTTTCCCTATCAGGGAAATAGGATGACAGTAGTGCTGGTCTCACTGCGTTGTGGTGATGATTAAATGAGCGCCACTGGCATCACTTAGCTATTTCCATCACACGATCCTGGTCCTGGCTCCAGTGTTACCTACTCAGAAACCCTTCCCTGACCACCCTCTTTATGAGCGTCCTGGTCACTCTTATTATGTGAACTTGACTTTATTCCTTTTGTTCCCTGAAGATATTTAATGTTCCTCTCTTCAACCCCGTCCTCCTTCCTCTCTCCTAGGATACAATTGACCTTGTTTATCTAGATCACTGCTGAATCTTCAGCACCAAGGACAGGTCCTGGCACATAGTCGTAGTCGGTGCACAGTAGGTACTGCAGAAATCAATGAGTCTATGAGTGAACTCACTGGTTCCTTTTTTGTGTCATGCATTGGAGAACCGGGCCTGGCGGGGGGAGGCTTACTGGGCAGTGGGATACAGCAGTGACTACAGAAACGCAGACTGCCCTCCGTGTCACCCCTACACTTGCTGCCCCTCTGGAGTCCGGTTTCAAGCCCTGGGTGTGTGCCTGGACGCCTCTCCTCCATCCTCTGTATCCTTTCTGCTGCCTTCTGAACATCTCTCTGGGAGCCCTGCAAGGGCAGGGACAGGAGGACCAGCTCCCCATTGTGTCCTTAACAACAGCAGCACAGGGCCTGGGCCAGACAGGGGCTCAGGCCATGCTTGCTGAGTGAGTGAGTGGGTGAGTGAGTGAGTGAGTGAGTGAATAAGTAGATAGATACCTGACTAAGGAGCATGGATTTTATCCAGAGAACAACGGAAAGTCATGGAAGTGTTATAAGCAAGGAAAGATGTTCAGATTTCTGCTTGGGAACATTCCAGACTGCTGCTCGTGCCAGATCCCTGCACGTGCTGTTCCCTTGTCCTGGAACTCTCTTCCTCCTCCCTTTTTCCTGCTAGTTCCAGCCCTCCTACGGGTGTCAGCTTAGTCATCTCTTTCTCTTAGGAAACTCTCCTTGACCCCCCAGGCTGGGTCAGGAACCTTCTCTGGGACCTCATAGGCCCACTGAGCTTCCCGTGTCCTGGTCCTGACCCCTCTACCTGTGCCTCTCCCTTCTTGCCCCCCCCATCTCAGCCCTGACCCCTCTGGGCTGTCACTATCTAGTGCTATATCTACCCTGACTCTAGGTTCAGTATGGGCAGGGCCTGGCAGTCTTGGGCAGGCTGTGCCACTGGCATTGCCCAGCACCAGCCTGAACCACAATAACGGCTTGGGTCCCTTACCACATCACCATGTGCTCCCAGCTCCCACCAGGGGTATCACTCACGGCAATTGGCTGGTGACCTCCAGTCCCCGACAGAGATGCCAAGTGCCAGACAGGCCTGGGCATAAGCGCTGAGGCCACGGCACAGGCTGGGCCGGTCCCCGCCGGTCACACACAGATCATAGACACAGTTCTCCAGGAAGGGTCGGGGGTCCAGGCTAGCATGGCAGGCAGCAAAGGGGCCATCAAGCCGGGCCAGCATGCCACAGAGACGGTCATTCTCATAGTGCTGGGCCTGGCCCTGGGTGCAGGAGGGACAGTTGCTCTGACAGCCGTCCTGGCACAGGTAGTCCCCATCGTCAAGCTTCCAGCTCTTGCCGAACTCCACAGGGTCAGATGCCTGATCCCAGTCAGGTGTGAGGAAGTCATCAGCCGGGTTACCATTGTAGTTGCCACACAGCCCACACACCTGGTCTTGGAAGCGCGCAGGCAGGCTCACGGCCAGCTGGCAGTCCCAGTCATAAGTGACCACCAGACCAAAGTCCAGCTCCACCACAGCCCGCAGCCCGCTCTGGTACACACGCAGGCGACCCTCGCTCAGGGAGGCTGGCAGGCGGGAGCGCTGGTTGTCGATCTGTAGAGGGAGTGAGGAGGGCAGGGTCAGCCCCCTGTGTGGTCTGGCCTTCAGCCCTCATCTCCTCCCACTCACTCCCCCTGCTCCAGGTGCAGTGAGATTCCTTCTGTTACTACCACAATCCAAGCTTCTTCTACTTCAGGGTCTTTCAACTCTCATGGTTCCCGGGGCCTGAAACGCTCTTTCCCAGATGTCCACGTGGCTCACTTCCTCCCCTCCTAGAAATCTTTGCTCAAATGTTACCATCCTTCTTGGGGAGGCCTTCCCTGACCATCGTATTTTGAATGGCAACCCCTAGCCACAGCTTGGGCACATCCCAGCACAATTCTACCGCTAACTACAAACCTTTGTCAAGTCACTGACCCCTGTGAGGACTGACAAAAGCTATGCACTCTCTGTCTGAAAAGTGCTCAATGTGTACAAAACTCTGCACACGATTTCAGGGATCTGAAGTCCCCCTGGGCTTTTACCTTTTAGTAATAATAATAACAATAACTCAACCTGTTGCTGTTGAGTTGATACCAATTAGCAGCACCCCATGTGTTACTGAACACAACTTCTCCGTAGGGTTTTCTTGGCTGTAATCTTCACGGAAGCAGTTCCCCAGGCCTTTCTTCCACTGGGTGGAAGGTTAGCAGCTAATCACAAACTGCTTGCACCACCCAAAGACCTTATTTTAATCCAGCCGGTTATTAGTCAAGGAACTCTGGTGGCATAGTGGTTAAGGCATTTGTCTGCTCACCCAAAGGTCTGTGGTTCGAACCCACCCAGCTGCTCCACAGAAGAAAGATGAGGCAGTCTGCTTCCGTAAAGATTTATAGCCTTGGAAGCCCGGTGTGGGGAAGGAGGGTACTATTAGTTGGACTCAACTTGACGGCAGTGAGTTTGGGTTTAGGTTTTGGTTATTAACTGCACAGATCTGCCTGCACACTCACAAAACGAGGGAGGGACAAGGATATTCATCCCAGTGTTGTTTGCGACAGTGAACAATGCATCCGTAAACAAAAAGCAAAACACAGTTGCTGTGGAGTCTATTTTGACCCATAGTGACCCTATGTGCTTCAGAAGAGAACCGTGCTTGACAGTGTTTTCAATAGTTGAAATCTTACAGATGCCAGGTATCAGGGCTTTCTTTCTCACCACTGGGTGAGTTCAAGCTGTCAACCTTTCAATGAGGAGTAGAGCCCCAAACATTGATGCCACCTAGGACCTTAATGAGGAGCTCTGGTGGCATAGTGCCTAAGGCACCACTGCTAACCAGAATGCTGGCGGTTCAAACCCACCAGCCACTCCTTGGAAGGAAGGTTGGGCAATCTACTTCCGTAGTGATACCACCTTGGAAACCCAGGAGGGGTCGCTGTGAGTCAGGTCCAACTTGACGGCAGTGAGTTAGTTTGGTTTTTGTAGGACCTTAAGGTGTCCATCCAAACCCATTGCCATCGAGTCAATTCCAGCTTATGATAACCCTGTGTGCTTCAGAGCAGAAGGCCTGCTTAGCTTTTCCATAGCTGTGATACTATGGAAGCACATAGCCAGGGCGTTCTTGCATGCTGCCATTCAGTGGGATTGAACTGCCAGCCTTTCTGTTAGCAAAGGAGCCACCCCAGGACCTTAACATATTCATAAAAACAAACCAAAGCCACTGCCATTGAGTTGATTCCGACTCACGGCGACCCTATAGGACACAGTAGAACTGTCCCATAGGGTTTCCAAGGCTGCGAATCTTTGTAGAAGCAAAGCCCAAACCACGTTCAATGCCGTGAAGTCCATTCTGACTCACAGCGCCCCTAGAGGACAGAGTAGAAGTGCTCCCTAGGGTTTCCAAGGCTTGTGAATTTTTATGGAAGCAGACTGCCTCATCTTTCTCCAGTGGACTGGCTAGTGAATTTGAATCACTGACTCTTTGGCTAGCAGCTGAGCACTTAACCACTGTACCACCAGGGCAACTTAATGTGTCCATAGGAACTAGCTAACTGAACTAGGATGCATCCATGTAATGGAGAACTGTGCAGATACGAAAGAGTGAGGCGGCTCTCTGTGTACTGATACCGAAACAGCTCTAGAAAATACCATCATGTGCACAAGGTGAGGGTAGCACCAGGGCCGTTAGGACACACCAACGGATGAGAAATGGCAGGAGAGAAGAATGTATGTTAGTATTTACTCATATTGGCATAAAGAAAGCCTAGAGGAACACTCAAGAAATCAATAAACATGGTTACTGGTCCAGAGTAGAGGAAAAAAGGACATGAAAAGAGAAATAGAAGCAGGACTTCTCACAATGTGTCATTTGAATTTTAAGCCATGTGACTGCTTTACCTATTTAAAAAAAAAAAAAAATTAACTGCACTAATATGGAAGCATCTCAAATGCACTATGCTGAGCCAAAGTTTCTTACACGGAAGGGTACCCACTATGTGCAAGTTCTGGAACAGACAGAAGTAATCTATCCAATGCTGTCCAGTCAGTTCCAACTCATGGGGACCCCACGTGTGTCAGAGTGGAACTGTGCTCCAGAGGGGTTTCTGAGACCTTTCAGAAGCAGATTTCCGGGCCTTTCTCACAAGGTGCTCTGGGTGGGTTTGAACCACCAACCTTACGGTTAGTAGTTGAGCGCTTAACCGTTTGTGGCCACCCAGGGACTCCTGAAGAAAACCAACCAACTAACCAACAAACCAGAACGGTGGTTGTCTTTGGGGATGGATCAGGGATTGCCTGGGAAGAGACAGAAAGAATTTTCTGGAGTTATGAAAATATTCTGCATCTAGCTGTGGGTTTGTGTTGCACATTTGTCAAAACTCAGTACTCCAAATAATGATATGTATGTTTAAGCGTTTAGGGGTGAAGTGTGCTGATGTCTGGAACTTACTTTGAAGTGCATCACACAATAAGAGGGGCTGTTGAGTGGGCAGAGGGTGGACAGATGGATGGAGATATAAGTAAGGAAGGACAGGAAAATGTGAACTGTGGAATCTAGGTGATGGGCAAATGAGTGTCCAACGTTTCTGAACATTTGAACGTTTTCATCATGTAGTTGAGTGCCATCGAGTGAATTCTGACTCATAATGACCCATGTCACAGAGCAGAGCTGCCCCATATGGTTTTCTTGGCTGCAATCTTTGTGGGGGCAGATGACCAGGTCTTTCTTCCACGGAGCCACTGTGTTTGAACCGCCCACCTTTCTGTTAGCAGCTGAGCACTTAACTGTAGCACCAGCAAGGCTGCTTATATTCATGTAACATGTTGGGAGAAAGGAAATACTGCTCTGGGCTGTTATTTGTATTGGCTGAGTAGTGATACATTTACCAGAGGCAGGATAGCCGAGGAGGCTAAGGACAGGGACTTGAGAGTCAGCCTGCCTGGGTTCCCAGCTCAGGCTCCTACTTGCTCTAAGCCTTTGGGAAGTCAGCTGCCTCACTGAGTCTCAGTTTCCTGACCGGCCTGCCCCTCAGACTTGTTGTGAATGTTGAATACATGGCAAGTCCTCAGAAACACATCTGGCACATACTAGGTGGGCAATACATTTTGTAATTTGGCCACTTAAGAATCCATCATTGTTTAGGTTGTTTTCTTTGTCCTTTGCTGTTGTAAACCTAGTTGGCCTAAGTGTGTGTGTGTGTGTGTGTGTGTGTGTGTGTGTGAGGTACAAATATTTAACCAGAGAAGCCTCAGAAGAAAGGCCTGGTGATCCACTTCCAAAAGTCCAGAGCCATTAAAAATCCTCTGGCATACAATTCTACCTTGACACACACGGGGAAGCCGTGAGTCAGAATCCAGTCAAGGTTTGGTTTACACACGTAAGCCAAACCCACTGCCACCGAGCTGATGCCCACTCACAGCGCCCCTAGAGGACAGAGTAGAGCTGCCCCAGAGGGTTTCCAAGGCTGTGATCTTTATGACAGCAAAGCCCAAACCAAACCCACTGCCCAGTAGCCAATTCCGACTCACAGCGCCCCTAGAGGACAGAGTGGAGCTGCCCCAGAGGGTTTCCAAG